GGGTTTCAGATACATCTTCTGCAAATGCTAAGAACTATTCCTTATCAACATTATCTGAGATGGCTTCACTGTGTTGAAAGTGAGTATTGTGAACAATTCGTACTGTTTGGGACGTTAGTTACAGATCGAAATATGAATAAAAATGCTAGGTCCCAACCACACATAAAATCACTGCTCTTCCAATCAGGGATTTAGAGTTAAAACCTGGCGGAAATAAAGGCAGCTATCATTCAACAAATAAAAGATTCTGAACAAAGAGATTCAACTGAGATAAATATCCCTGAGGAATGAGATAATGTGCATCAAAGATGATATTGTTGAATTGAGAGAGGAGCTAAATGTGAATAAGGAGGAGCTGCATGTGGTGAAGTTAGATGTGGAAGAGTTAGGTTGAAGATATGGAAGCTTCCTGGGAACCAGAGCTCATCGGCTGCACTCTAAGAGAGAGGGGAAACCAAGCCAAGTAACTGCACGGTTAACCCACTGGGAGGGTAAACAACAGGCAAATTGGAATGAGAGATGAGAGGGGCATTAATAGAAATGGGATTTCGGATTACCAATGATTTGACAATGTTGCAGGCAAAACTTCTCAACAGGATGAAAACTGAGGACCCCAAGAAGAGGTATAACTATACAGTGTGTGTGTGTGTGTGTGTGAGGGGTGGGGGGTGGGGGGTGGGGGGGTGAGGTGGGGGGGGGGGGGGGGGGGGGTGGTACAGGAACACCGGAGAGAAGTCAGCCTCAGGACTTGTCGGATAGACAACAGAGCCTGGCCCTGGAAGATTTTACGGCGCATCAACATCATTGGTCCGAAACCTGACACGAAAATGAGATAGGAAATAAGGAACATTTCAGGATTAACTTCATAGATGGAGGAAACGGATACAATGAACTACTTGAAAACGTTTGATGTGATAGACATCACTGAAACACGGATTAAAGACATAACGGATCTTGAATCTATGTTACATGACTCCTCCATACTAAATAAAGAAGCAGATAAGATAGCCCATGCACGGAGATTATCAGGTGGAATAACTCTTTTGTTAAAAAAGGATCTTATTAAATACATGAAATGGACTAAAAATACCAAGAGGTACAAATCTATTTTATTTGACAGGACACTATTTGATCTTACATCAGATGTTTTGTATTCCACAGTGTATAGTCACCCTGAGAAATCAACATGGTATAACAATACTGGATTAGAAAGTAAAAATGGCATTTCCCCTTTTCAAGAAGATATTCTTGATATACTGTTGGATATAGCAGGTGGCGTCGTACCCTTTTCCGGTGTAGATTTTAATGCCCGCACAGGCAATGAAACGGGCTATGTTAAAAGATTATTGAACATTATTGAACACATTCGGGGCTATGAGCACAGCCTTATGGACTATTTGCTTGATCTTTTTCGTATCTGGCGATATTCATGTGACACTACTGTTAATAATTTCGGCAAATGTTTGCTGGATTTTGTGCTCAGTACTTAACATTCACATAATGAATGGGATATGTGGCTCTGGCTCAGATGTTGGTGATTTTACGTACGTAGGCCATAATGGGACTTGTGTCATTGATAATGTTATATGTTCACCACAACCTTTTCATTGCTGTACAGACTTTACTATTACCTCAAGAGCTGAATCATCACATCTACCAGTCACCGTCAGTCTACAATCAGCAAATGTCAGGTCACACACCTAGTAATATAGATGGTTGTTTCAAGTTTGTGTGGGATTATAATAAGAAAGAGCATTTTCAAGAAGCTTTTTGTTCTGATAGTGTACAAGAATTACTTCGCAGGTTGGTGGAAGTGGCATTAACTGATATTAATGAGAGTGTGCAATGTTTTGTTAAAGCATTGTGTAATGCTGGTATGTGTTAGAGAAGGAAAGTTGGTAGGAAAGATGCAGTATCCTTATCAATTTACAACCAGGCTAGAAATAAGTATAATAGTATATGCATTTTTTAAAAAAGAATTCATCAAATATTACTGTTCCATATTTAGGTGTCTTGTTTGCTGCTATTTTTGAAAATTCCAATTTTCCCAAAGACTGGTCAGTGGGTATTATCATGCCTCTTCACCAACACGATAATGTAAATGATACCAATAACTACAGAGGCATCATTTTTAACCATACTGAGTAAAATATTCTCAGATTTCATTAAGTAGATTAGCATTTTGGGCTGAATCATTTAAGCAAAATAGATGAGGCACAAACCGGCTTTAGAGAGGGGTACTCAACTATTGACAATATTTATTTGTTACATTCCTTAATTCAACGTTATTTATAAAGTAAAGGAGGGATACGTTTTGCGCTTTTTGTAGATAAACTTTGAGCCTTTCTTAAATTACAAAGGGTAAGCAGCAAGATGCTGAAACTATTATCAGGTATCTTTGAACAAGTAAAGGCTTGTGTAAGAAGTAATGGCAAGTACTCAGAAGATTTTGAATGTAATGTAGGTGTTCGACAAGGATGTATATTAAGTTCTTTTCTCTTTACTTTCTTTATTCACGAGATGGCAGAAGAAATGCAAAAGTATTGCAAAGGTGGTATACAGCTACATCCAGATATTGTTAAAATATGTTTCTTACGTTTGCCGATGATGTCGTAATGATTTCGAGTACTGTACCCAGATAAATGTGTCGGAGCAGTTTTGTGAACAATTTGGTTTAATCGTTAACACAAAAAGACCAATGTTATTGTATTTAAAAACGGCGGTATGTATTCAAAAAGGGAGAAACGGTTTTACAAAGACAGTTATCTGGACGTAGTTACAAGCTATACATATTTGGGAGTACATTTTTCTGTTAAATTATCTTGGACTCTTCATTCAATACAGGATGCAACACAAGCAAAGAACATTCTCTACGGATACTAAAACGTCTCTGATCTATTTCGAGTGTAAATTTTAATCTATTTTTTTTTAAATGGACACAAAAATCAAGCCAATTCTACTATATGGGGCTGAGGTGTCGGGTGCGCATCAGTTAGATTTGATTCAAAGGGTGCATGCATGTGCATGCAAAAGATATTTCGGAGTAAAGATAAACACCCGCGATGTTGTTGTATATGGTAGGTTTCCCTCAACCAACACTTGATGACTTTAATTTGTTGTGTGTGTGTGTATATATATACACACACACAACAAATTGAAGTCATCAAGTGTTGGTTGAGGTTATTAAGGATGTCAAATGATAGATACCCAAGAAAGTGTTATGAAATGAAGGTATTGTATGACAAAAATGGAAAGCAAAACTGGTTTTCGTCAGTTAAAACTCATTAATGATTTAGGCTAAGGTTATGCTTGGCAAAGTCAAAATGTAGATTGTCTTGAACATTTTGTTAAAATTGTGTACAGAAAAGCTTTGTGAGGTTTATCGTCAAAATGTCAGTACTTTAGTTTGTTTAAAACAGAATAACAGCAGAATATCTTTTTTTTTAAACCACTTTTGTACAAATATAGAATTACATGTTCTAGATTCAGATGCTCATCACATTGATCAAATATTGAAACGGGAAGATATTCCAAAATCCATAAGGAAATTAGATTATGTAAAATGTGTAATCTACAGCTGATAGTGGATGAGTACCATTTTGTTCTCATTTGTCCATTTTATGAGAATTTACGAATTGCATAGGTACATCCATAAATGTACCAATTTCCAAATATATTTAAGTTAAATGAATTAATGTCTTCTACAAAAAATGACGCACTAAAGCGTATATATTCCATGCAACGAATGTTAGAAATGATAAGATGAGTGACTTAAATAAGTAGAAATCTATATGTCCACCCACTATCAACAAAGATATGTGCTATAGGCCTATGGCCTTTCAGTATTTCTGAAATAAAGATTGATTGATTGTTGTAACCATGATCAAACAACTTTTGAACAAGAGTCGTTGGCTTTTGACATAGTCGGAATCTACAACGTGCCTCGTCGTTTTAGCAGATATTTCTTACAATAATTTATGGATTTGCTTTTCGTTTTCATTTTGATATGTAATGTATTGTTGCAAACTTGTATTTGGTTACCATTTGCCTATTTTGAGCTGGAAAGTCAATTAAAAGTTAAAAGGTACTGAATTCCACAGCTGTCAAGTGCAGTTTCGTGATATTCTCTGTTTTCATTCTAATAACAGGGTAAGCTTTATTGAATTCAAGTGAAAGACGTGGGTTTATCGATCAACGGACGTCAATCATTATAGTATTTAAACTATAATCCTTTAATTCGCAGATGTCAATGATGTAATGAAATATTGCTTGCTTATTGATGTCTCCTTGTTCGTGATTTTAAGATATTTAGAAACACGCTGTGTCATCAGATGTCTGCTCTGGGATTAAGACATCACATATGGCTGCGATGTCCTGAAAGAATACAAGGCAAATTTTCACGGTAAACGCAAACATGTGCAACGCATGAGTACATGAATTGTTTCCCATCTGAGGGATTTTCGAGGTTGTATGCTAAACATTCAACGATTTGACTGCATGCGTTTGTAACTGGTGCCACCGGTGGGTCAGGATACTTTCACCATTCTGATACTGATTTATAAACACATGCTCGTGATATAGTCGGGATCGCACAATGGTCTCTGCTTATGGCAGACATTTCTAATGAATATGGACAGGCTTTTGTCGTATTTATTTCAATTATTTGAGAATTTGCCTCAGGAGTGACGTTTGTAGAGAGGGGCATGATAGAATATGAGAGAAGACGTATGGATCACATACCATTGTCCAAGACAAACTATTACATGTGGTTACTCATTATTCACAAATAATGGATGTCTATCTTTAATATTTCGAACATTACAAGCGAAGGGTTTTTGTCTCGAAGCAGGAATTGTTGCTGGTTGATATTGTCATTTGTTTCAATTAAGTCACCGATGTAAAGTGTTTGTTTTTGTTCAGAAAGAAAAAAGACGCTGATTCCGATGAACAAACTTGAATAATCAAAGTTGCTGATATTGGACTGGTTCCTTTTACGAGACATGGACACACTGTACTACTGGATTCTGCTCGCATTGGTTTTACCCACGAACAACGTTGAGGCACAGGGTGGGTACAAGCAAGAGGATCACCTAGCTCCAGTCAAGTGTTTTAGGTTTATTTCATTTTCATTTGTATGTGAAGATTTATATCTCTGTGTATTTGTTGATTACACATCACTCAGCAGTATCTCAGCAATACTTGTCAATAATAGAGTCTCAAACAGACAATCCCCTGAGCGATGCTGTGAGCAACGATCCACGTCATCGGTGTACGATAACCATATGATCCATTTGGTCAGCTCATACGACATGCTTAGGTTCCTGGGGAAATATTCTAACCCACAGGGTGTATATATGGTTGAGTGAGCATTTGGCTCAAACGAATTGGCTGCTTGATTTTTGCCATTTGCAAAATGCTAATGACAAAGCTCTCAGTTCTTTCTTTTAATACTTCTTGTTGATGATTATTGTGTTGTTTTGAATACTTTGTTATTTTAAAAGACTATTATAGAAAAATTAAGCAACACCTGCAACGTTAATTCCTACATTACACATGTTTTATGATGTCAAGACTTTATCTATTTTACGATGCATTTTTGTGCTTGATTGTTGTTTTTTCTTTTTCAAAGTATATTGCTAAATTTGTCTACAATCAGTTTGTGTTTTATCCTTCTCATTCGGATCATTCTGAAAATAGCATCACTGAATTTGAGTCAACAATTTCTACAACAACATGATTTCTGATGCTAACTGCTTTTATCTACAGGTTGAAAAATTTCATACAAGGATTCCAGCATCGCAGAATTTCTAGTATGCCTAGTAGGGTCCCCACCCAAACCTTGGCCCTGGAATATGATGCTAGATACTACCTGCGTTGAAGATCTAGAACACAACTGATGATTTTCTTCAGGCAATTTTAGTTGTAATATGCATACTAAATCTTAGATAATTTCACACCATTAGTTGTAATTGGAATAAAAAATCATCACGGGTTGTAATACTTGAATCAACTTGATCTGCAGATTTTATTGCCTTCATTCCTGATACGGAGTACATCTTTGAGAACAGGACCGAAAACTGTGTCACATTGATGCGGGCAGGAACTGCTAATGGCGACATCACAGTTTCCTACACTATCGGAGGAATAGGAATCACATCCCCTGAAGATTTTGTGTCTGGGGATTTCCAAATACTTTATCCTGCAGCTTTAAGCACAATAAAAATCAACGTAACATTTAATGATAACACAGTAAGTTCTTCTTCAAATGTTCTGACATATTTCCTTTCACTTACGTCATTCGACAATTTATGGTTCCGTGGCTGTTGCGACTTGTTGTCTTTATAGGTAAACACTGAAATTCGTCTCTGTATGTAGACATGTACTTCGGTAATAAAAAGAACATTATATGCGTGTTCATGCCATACTATGTTTACGACACTCGTGTCTTAAAATCCGGTATTTCATTCTCTCTCGCTCGGGAAATACCGGAATTTAGGCACTCGTGTCGTAAACATAGTATGACATGAACACTCATTTGCCATCCTCCATTTAATCTCACTCATTCTTCATTAAGGTCTGTAACACTGACCCTCGACTGATAAATGTGACCCTCACAAGCGTAGATAAAGGATCCCTAATTACCACGCCTGTCAGCAAGTTTGTCCAGGTGCTCGATGACGATGGAGGTGAGTCAAACTATTCAATACCAATCACCATGCAGGTGTATATTTTCCCAACATCCGAGGGTATTCAAAGTTAAGATCTTACAAAGGGAAATATCAAGTTCAAATGTCATCATGAATTTGCCTCGTTACACCTATTTATTCAATGTATTTTGAAGGAACACACGGGAAACGTTGAACAATGTTTCCCTAAGTATAGTTCCTTTCCACGGTAAGTTTCTTGTTGTTTACATGCGTGTGCCCATTGAAGAATAAAACATCTCAAGTATTAGCATTACGAATATAAAATGTTGAAAAACATGTATGTAAGCAATATCAGAATATGTTTCACGTCTGTTGGTGGAATCATGAATGCATATACTGTTGTAACATTAACAAAACAACCTCAAGCCGATGAGTGTCCTCTTTTAAACGTGGCCATTATATTATCCGTTCATACAATCAGTTTTGCACATATCATAAGGTAAAATATCAAGGTCATGCGTCATAATTTTTCACTTGTAAAATCAACTGGCTGTTGTTTGTCCTAATTATATTTGTACTCTTGCCTTATATTAAAGCCCATCATGAACCACCAGAGTGTCAAGATTGCAGCCAATGTGTGGAGGTTGTTTTATTTGTGATCTGCTTCAGAATGGACCGAATGGACAGCTGTTCTAGGCGTATGTGATTGTTCCACCAGCACCCAACCACGGACCAGGAATAGAACATGTGATGACAAAGGACAGTCATTTCGAACTTGTGTTGGAGACTTAAGCGTGATGGACACCATCGATTGTTCTGGCGATCCAAGTTGCACATCTACAGGTGCCTAGCAGTCACTTTCTACTGATATGTTTGATATATTTTTCGGTATCCTGCAGCCTCAGTGATACGAGACGTTTATTCGCCCTCAGTATGGATACACCTATAACTTCGGTATCGAATAGGATTTCAACTTTATGCATAATCCTAATACAAACGATTTACATTTGTTTGGGGAGATGGTACCAATGACTACCAATGTGAAATATCTAGATCACAACTTGAGGCTTTTTAGGATAAGTTTGTTGTCATTTGTAGACGTAGATTTGTACATATTATTCAGTATTAGACAAAACCCAATCATTTTCATAATTTTAAAACTTCAATCATTTTTATCTGCAGATTTTATTGCCTTCATTCCTGATACGGAGTACATCTTTGAGAACAGGACCGAAAACTGTGTCACATTGATGCGGGCAGGAACTGCGAATGGCGATATCACAGTTTCCTACACCATCGGAGGAATAGGAATCACATCCCCTGAAGATTTTGTGTCTGGGGATTTCCAAATACTTTATCCTCCAGTTTCAAGCACAATAAAAATCAACGTAACATTTAATGATAACACAGTAAGTTCTTCTTCAAATGTTCTGACATATTTCCTTTCACTTGAGAACCATTTTTTAATTCTAACTGGATTGGATTGCTACACATGACGGGATACGTCAATTTTCAAGGCACGTTGATACATCCAATTGTGAAAACGACATGATTAACAGGATTCATGTGACATTGTTGTTGAACTGTTTCATTCACAGGAACCTCAAAATGTTTCAGTGTTTTTGAAAAAAATATTCATTCTCCTCATTTGTTCTTACATGTACTTCAAAATGTAAACGTGATGAAAAATTATAATCAATTATCTAAAATGAGACACAATTTATGAGGTACAATAAGCTACACATGGGCCTTATAATATGATTGATCTCTGATCTTAAAATGTCAAAACTCGTATCTGTCCGTTTAGTTAAACACCATTTAAACAGCACATCAAGACGTAATTGGTTCTTGCGACAAGTAAAGGCGATAGGGGATCTTTTTGTAATCCCAAACCTGGCACATCAAAATTTGACAATTACTAAGTTAATATCATACAACGGCCGACCTTTCGAATTCAGGCGTCCGTTCCACAAAGTTATCGTACCGCTTAGGCTATCGTAACTCACATGCTTTAACATAGACTTACGACTGTCGTTGCGCTACAGAACAATCGCCTTGTGGATCGGCCTTGCACCACAAAGTTTACAATCGCGTCACAATGCTCTATGACGTAGTGGGGGCACAGGTGGCCCAGTCGTCTAAGGTGCCGCGATGTTCAGAGTTGCGTCCCTTGGGCACGCCAGAAATCTATGATTGTTGGTTCGAATCCCGGTTATGTTTCTAGGTTTGTCAGCACCATACCCGTGCTCGTGGGTTTCACCGAAGTGGTAAACATCTGAGACCTGCATCACTTCGGGCTTTCATCCCACTTTAAGCTGACACGCCGTGATATAACTGGAATACTGTTAAAAGCGGCGTTAAACCCAACTCACTCACTCACTATGACGTAGTTTGTGGAATTTGGATGCAAGATCCAGCGGCAAAACAACGCCATGTGACGTCAGCCTAGTAACAGGGTTGCTGTGGTCATCGAGTGTGCATAAGCTTCTCTCAGTGATCTATCATCTCCACACGCAATGCCATTGAATAATCCAAGGGATGTTGAGAGCTTTCAATATTTGTTCGCGAAATTTGTTCCAGCAGTACATAAGGACGCGCTTTGGTATTACACAATGTGTGATACAGCTGTATGTTTTATTCAACGACTGATCTCTACACTGGTAAGTAATAATCGTAATTATTACCTCCGAGAGTAAACATATCGGGGTTCATAAAAAATAGTATGTGCCCCAGGATCATATCACGTCACGAGACAACTGTTTATTGTTTCCGTCATCCGGACGGCATTGTTGACACCATTCGAATGTTATTGTGAAGAAAGGTAGGAATGACGTTACACTAGAAACGACGTTAAAGCTGTAGATTATTGACGTCATTCGACAATTTATGGTTCCGTGGCTGTTGCGACTTGTTGTCTTTATAGGTAAACACTGAAATTCGTCTCTGTATGTAGACATGTACTTCGGGAATAAAAAGAACAATATATGTGTTCATGCCATACTATGTTTACGACACTCGTGTCTAAAATCCGATATTTCATTCTCTCTCGCTCGGGAAATACCGGAATTTAGGCACTCGTGTCGTAAACATAGTATGACATGAACACTCATTTGCCATCCTCCATTTAATCTCACTCATTCTTCATTAAGGTCTGTAACACTGACCCTCGACTGATAAATGTGACCCTCACAAGCGTAGATAAAGGATCCCTAATTACCACGCCTGTCAGCAAGTTTGTCCAGGTGCTCGATGACGATGGAGGTGAGTCAAACTATTCAATACCAATCACCATGCAGGTGTATATTTTCCCAACATCCGAGGGTATTCAAAGTTAAGATCTTACAAAGGGAAATATCAAGTTCAAATGTCATCATGAATTTGCCTCGTTACACCTATTTATTCAATGTATTTTGAAGCAACACACGGGAAACGTTGTACATTGTTTCTCTAAGTATAGTGCCTTTTTAAGGTAAGTTTCTTGTTGTTCACATGCGTGTGCCCATTGAAGAATAAAACATCTCAAGTATTAGCATTACGACTATAAAATGTTGAAAAACATGTATGTAAGCAATATTAGAATATGTTTCACGTCTGTTGGTGGCATCACGAATGCATAAACTGTTGTAACATTAACAAAACAACCTCAAGCCGATGAGTGTCCTCTTTCAAACGTGGCCATTATATTATCAGTTCATACAATTTGTTTCACACATATCATAAGGTAAATTATCAAGGTTAAGCGTCATAATTTTTCACTTGTAAAATCAACTGGCTGTTGTTTGTCCTAATTATATTTGTACTCTTGCCTTATATTAAAGCCCATCATGAACCACCAGAGTGTCAAGATTGCAGCCAATGTGTGAAGGTTGTTTTATTTGTGATCTGCTTCAGAATGGACCGAATGGACAGCTGTTCTAGGCGTATGTGATTGTTCCACCAGCACCCAACCACGGACCAGGAATAGAACATGTGATGACAAAGGACAGTCATTTCGAACTTGTGTTGGAGACTTAAGCGTGATGGACACCATCGATTGCTCTGGCGATCCAAGTTGCACATCTACAGGTGCATAGCAGTCACTTTCTACTGATATGTTTGATATATTTTTCGGTATCCTGCAGCCTCAGTGACACGAGACGTTTATTCGCCCTCAGTATGGATACACCTATAACTTCGGTATCGAAAAGGATTTCAACTTTAAGCATAATCCTAATGCAAACGATTTAAATTTGTTTAGGGAATTGGTACCAATGACTGCCAATGTGAAATATCTAGATCACAACTTGAGGCTTTTTAGGATAAGTTTGTTGTCATTTGTAGACGTAGATTTGTACATATTATTCAGTATTAGACAAAACCCAATCATTTTCACAATGTGTAAAACTTCAATCATTTTTGGTCTGCAGATTTTATTGCCTTCATTCCTGATACGGAGTACATCTTTGAGAACAGGACCGAAAACTGTGTCACATTGATGCGGTCAGGAACTGCGAATGGCGATATCACAGTTTCCTACACCATCGGAGGAATAGGAATCACATCCCCTGAAGATTTTGTATCTGGGGATTTCCAAATAGTTTATCCTCCAGTTTCAAGCACATTAAAAATCAACGTAACATTTAATGATAACACAGTAAGTTCTTCTTCAAATGTTCTGACATATTTCCTTTCACTTGAGAACCTATTTTTCATTTTTTTAGATTGGATTGCTACACATGACAGAATACGCTAATGTTCAAAGCACATTGATCGATCCCATTGTGAAAACGACATGATTAACAGGATTGATGTGACATTGTGGTTGTACCGTTTCATTCACAGGAACCTCTGAGCGTTTTGAAAATTAGTATATATTCTGACATGTGCTTAGAAAATTCGTAAGTGACAAACATGAAATGATAATCAATGACCTAAAATGGGACAAAAATTACAACGTTGCACATTTGAAAGATATATATTAGGTCTGTAAACTACACATTTGTTTCATTATATGATGAAATCACTGAAATAAAAATATCCAAATACATGTTTGTCCATGTAGTTGAACAGCATTTCAACACCATATCAACGAATATTCGTTAAGCAGGGGGCTGTGTGGTACACATGGGTTAAACAGTTCGCACGTCCCGTCGAAGACACGGTTTCGATTCTCCACATGGGTAAAATGTGTAAAGCCCGTTTCTGGTGTCCGCCGCCATGATATTGCTAGACTATTGCAAAAAACAATGGTATCAATACTCATTCACTCACTCATGATAAGGAGAATCTATTTCATGTGATTTAAAAGTGGGAAAACGAGTAATTCAGAACGAATACATCACATCAGATTTATTTGTTTGCTGTTTAATGTCACAGTCATAAATTGTTAAGCTATATGGCGGCGTATTGCAAATAACGTAGTCTTTGCTTGACAAACAATAATTGATAGTATAATAAAAGCGACAAAACTTTTTCCATATTTGTAAGAAAAGAGATAGAATTCCGCATGTGCCAATTAGACGTCAATAAAGGATCCATGACTTCCGACTTCCATATTGTCTCATTGAATGTTGTTATGTTACACAAGCCTTATTAACCTCGCTCATTCTTCATTTAGATCTGTAACACTGAATCACGACTGATAAATGTGACCCTCACAAGTGTTGATAAAGGATCTTTAGTTACCACGCCTGTCAGCAAGTTTGTCCAGGTGCTCGATGACGATGGTGGTGAGTCAATATAATTAATAAAACTATTCAATACCCTTTAATATGCTAATCTATTTTTCACTACATACAGTGGTATCTAAAAATGTTAGATCTAATAAAGGTAAATATCAAGTTCAAATGTCATTATAAATGTGTCTCGTTGCATCATTTCATTCAATTTAATTGGAAGTAATACACGGGAAAAGTTGTACACTGTTTCTGTAAATAAAGTGCCTTTCAACGGTAATTTTCTTGTCCTTTACCTGCATGTATCTATTGAAGTATACAACATGTCATTGGTCAGCTTCTGATGTTGTTATATTAAGTATTAGGATCACGAATACAAAATGTTGAAAAACATGTATACAAATGATGTTGCAAAAAGAAGTTGCATGTCTTTTGGTGTCATCATGAATGCAAATACTGTCGTAAATTTATAGAAACAACCTCAAGCCAGCGAGTTTTCTTTTAAACGTGCTATTATATTATCCGTCCATAGAATTAGTTTGGCACATATCATAAGGTCAAATATCAAGGTCATGTGTCATAATTTTTCACTTGTCTAATCAACCGACTGTTGTTTGTCCTAATTATATTTGTATGGTTGCCTTTCATTGAACCCCACCATGAACCATCAGAGTGTGAAGATTGCAGCCAATGTGTGGAGGTTGTTTTAGTTATGATCTGCTTCAGAGTGGACCGAATGGACAACTATACTAGGCGTCTGTGATTGTTCCACCAGCACCCAACCACGGACAAGGAATAGAACATGTGATGACAAAGGACAGCCATTTCGAACCTGTGTTGGAGACTCGAGCGTGATGGACACCATCGATTGTTCAGGCGATCCACGTTGCACCACCGCAGGTGATTTTTGTATTTGTACCATTCAAATTAGGCCAGTTATATATAATCACCAGAGAATATTCACTCTCGAATATCCATCTAAACGGATTTAATAGTGCGTAAAAGGCAAATTAGTGGTGAAAAGTATATGAATGAATAACTGAAAATCAATGATGACACAAAGTGTCCGCGAAACCTGTTTTAGCTTCCAATGACTTTTGGTCAAAACTAGGTGGAAACGAGGGTGGATTTGTTGTTTCTCTAAGCCTATTCTTATGTACACGTGATCTCTGACGACCACTACCCCTCATAGAGTCAGCATCCAAAATTTGATTTGGAAATCTGTTCTTAATGGAGCTTATGAACGAAGAATAATTTTGGCTGGCCGTTTATGCACGATTTTTGAGTGTTTAAAATCTGAGATCAAATTCGAGCAATTTCGCGAGGAGATTTTTTTCCAAACAATATCATTGTCTCCTTTCTCTCGAGATATCAAAAGGTCGTCCTCGTAAATAAGAGTCCATTATGTAGCTCTCCTTATAATACTTTAATACTCCCGTGTTGATACTATCAAAAGACAATGTTAGTTTATCCTGCGTTATCACATTAAACCCCCACAGTTAATTCTAGAATAAAACATTCATATGTTGTATGTCATTGCATAATTGATAACCATCAAATATCAGTAGTATAAACACACCAGAAATAATAGCACGCATTTATTCACTCTTTGCTTTTACTTCCCCGACTACAGCATTAACAACAACAACAACCACTTCAGTACCAACTACAACACCTTCACCAACCACACCTACGACAGCAATGCCGACTACAACACCATCACCTACATCTACAGGTACTTATCAGTCACTTTCTACTGATTTGTTTGAAAATACATAATCGTAGTTATTCATGACCTGGTACGCCTTCTTTTTTTATTATCCTGCATTATCAGTGATTACAGATGTTTGTTCACTCTCAGTGTGGATCCACCTTCAACTTCAGTATTGATGGGTTTCAACTATAAGCATATTCCTAATGCAAAAGATTTGCATTTGATTGGAGAGATGGTGAACAGTACTGACTACGTGAAATATCTAGACCACAATTTAGGATTTTCTTCAGCCTTTAGGGCTAAGGTATTAGGGAGAAAAAAACCATTCCTACTACCTGTAATACTACAATCATTTTTGGTCTGCAGATTTTATTGCCTTCATTCCTGATACGGAGTACACCTTTGAGAACAGGACCGAAAATTGTGTCACATTGATGCGGTCAGGAACTGCGAATGGCGATATCACAGTTTCCTACACCATCGGAGGAATAGGAATCACATCCCCTGAAGATTTTGTGTCTGGGGATTTCCAAATAGTTTATCCTCCAGCTTCAAGCACAATAAAAATCAACGTAACATTTAATGATAACACAGTAAGTTCTTCTTCAAATGTTCTGACATATTTCCTTTCACTTGAGAACCTATTTTTCATTTTTTTAGATTGGATTGCTACACATGACAGAATACGCTAATGTTCAAAGCACATTGATCGATCCCATTGTGAAAACGACATGATTAACAGGATTGATGTGACATTGTGGTTGTACCGTTTCATTCACAGGAACCTCTGAGCGTTTTGAAAATTAGTATATATTCTGACATGTGCTTAGAAAATTCGTAAGTGACAAACATGAAATGATAATCAATGACCTAAAATGGGACAAAATTACAACGTTGCACATTTGAAAGATATATATTAGGTCTGTAAACTACACATTTGTTTCATTATATGATGAAATCACTGAAATAAAAATATCCAAATACATGTTTGTCCATGTAGTTGAACAGCATTTCAACACCATATCAACGAATATTCGTTAAGCAGGGGGCTGTGTGGTACACATGGGTTAAACAGTTCGCACGTCCCGTCGAAGACACGGTTTCGATTCATGGGTAAAATGTGTGAAGCCCGTTTCTGGTGTCCGCCGCCATGATATTGCTAGACTATTGCAAAAAACGGTGGTATCAATACTCATTCACTCACTCATGTTAAGGAGAATCTATTTCATGTGATTTAAAAGTGGGAAAACGAGTAATTCAGAACGAATACATCACATCAGATTTATTTGTTTGCTGTTTAATGTCACAGTCATAAATTGTTAAGCTATATGACGGCGTATTGCAAATAACGTAGTCTTTGCTTGACAAACAATAATTGATAGTATAATAAAAGTGACAAAACTTTTTCCATATTTGTAAGAAAAGAGATAGAATTCCGCATGTGCCAATTAGACGTCAATAAAGGATCCATGACTTCCGACTTCCATATTGTCTCATTGAATGTTGTTATGTTACATAAGCCTTATTAACCTCGCTCATTCTTCATTTAGATCTGTAACACTGAATCACGACTGATAAATGTGACCCTCACAAGTGTTGATAAAGGATCTTTAGTTACCACGCCTGTCAGCAAGTTTGTCCAGGTGCTCGATGACGATGGTGGTGAGTCAATATAATTAATAAAACTATTCAATACCCTTTAATATGCTAATCTATTTTTCACTACATACAGTGGTATCTAAAAATGTTAGATCTAATAAAGGTAAATATCAAGTTCAAATGTCATTATAAATGTGTCTCGTTGCATCATTTCATTCAATTTAATTGGAAGTAATACACGGGAAACGTTGTACACTGTTTCTGTAAATAAAGTGCCTTTCAACGGTAAATTTCTTGTCCTTTACCTGCATGTATCCATTGAAGTATACAACATGTCATTGGTCAGCTTCTGATGTTGTTATACTAAGTATTTGCATTACGAATACAAAATGTTGAAAAACATGTATACAAATGATGTTGCAAAAAGAAGTTGCATGTCTTTTGGTGTCATCATGAATGCAAATACTGTCGTAAATTTATAGAAACAACCTCAAGCCAGCGAGTTTTCTTTTAAACGTGCTATTATATTATCCGTCCATAGAATTAGTTTGGCACATATCATAAGGTCAAATATCAAGGTCGTGTGTCATAATTTTTCACTTGTCTAATCAACCGACTGTTGTTTGTCCTAATTATATTTGTATGGTTGCCTTTCATTGAACCCCATCATGAACCATCAGAGTGTGAAGATTGCAGCCAATGTGTGGAGGTTGTTTTAGTTATGATCTGCTTCAGAGTGGACCGAATGGACAACTATACTAGGCGTCTGTGATTGTTCCACCAGCACCCAACCACGGACAAGGAATAGAACATGTGATGACAAAGGACAGCCATTTCGAACCTGTGTTGGAGACTCGAGCGTGATGGACACCATCGATTGTTCAGGCGATCCACGTTGCACCACCGCAGGTGATTTTTGTATTTGTACCATTCAAATTAGGCCAGTTATATATAATCACCAGAGAATATTCACTCTCGAATATCCATCTAAACGGATTTAATAGTGCGTAAAAGGCAAATTAGTGGTGAAAAGTATATGAATGAATAACTGAAAATCAATGATGACACAAAGTGTCCGCGAAACCTGTTTTAGCTTCCAATGACTTTTGGTCAAAACTAGGTGGAAACGAAGGTGGATTTGTTGTTTCTCTAAGCCTATTCTTATGTACACGTGATCTCTGACGACCACTACCCCTCATAGAGTCAGCATCCAAAATTTGATTTGGAAATCTGTTCTTAATGGAGCTTATGAACGAAGAATAATTTTGGCTGGCCGTTTATGCACGATTTTTGAGTGTTTAAAATCTGAGATCAAATTCGAGCAATTTCGCGAGGAGATTTTTTTCCAAACAATAACATTGTCTCCTTTCTCTCGAGATATCAAAAGGTCGTCCTCGTAAATAAGAGTCCATTATGTAGCTCTCCTTATAATACTTTAATACTCCCGTGTTGATACTATCAAAAGACAATGTTAGTTTATCCTGCGTTATCACATTAAACCCCCACAGTTAATTCTAGAATAAAACATTCATATGTTGTATGTCATTGCATAATTGATAACCATCAAATATCAGTAGTATAAACACACCAGAAATAATAGCACGCATTTATTCACTCTTTGCTTTTACTTCCCCGACTACAGCATTAACAACAACAACAACCACTTCAGTACCAACTACAACACCTTCACCAACCACACCTACGACAGCAATGCCGACTACAACACCATCACCTACATCTACAGGTACTTATCAGTCACTTTCTACTGATTTGTTTGAAAATACATAATCGTAGTTATTCATGACCTGGTACGCCTTCTTTTTTTATTATCCTGCATTATCAGTGATTACAGATGTTTGTTCACTCTCAGTGTGGATCCACCTTCAACTTCAGTATTGATGGGTTTCAACTATAAGCATATTCCTAATGCAAAAGATTTGCATTTGATTGGAGAGATGGTGAACAGTACTGACTACGTGAAATATCTAGACCACAATTTAGGATTTTCTTCAGCCTTTAGGGCTAAGGTATTAGGGAGAAAAAAAACATTCCTACTACCTGTAATACTACAATCATTTTTGGTCTGCAGATTTTATTGCCTTCATTCCTGATACGGAGTACATCTTTGAGAACAGGACCGAAAACTGTGTCACATTGATGCGGGCAGGAACTGCGAATGGCGATATCACAGTTTCCTACACCATCGGAGGAATAGGAATCACATCCCCTGAAGATTTTGTGTCTGGGGATTTCCAAATAGTTTATCCTCCAGCTTCAAGCACAATAAAAATCAACGTAACATTTAATGATAACACAGTAAGTTCTTGTTCAAATGGTCTGACATATTTCCTATCACTTGAGAACCTATTTTTCATTTTTTTAGATTGGATTGCTACACATGACAGAATACGCTAATGTTCAAAGCACATTGATCGATCCCATTGTGAAAACGACATGATTAACAGGATTGATGTGACATTGTGGTTGTACCGTTTCGTTCACAGGAACCTCTGAGCGTTTTGAAAATTAGTATATATTCTGACATGTGCTTAGAAAATTCGTAAGTGACAAACATGAAATGATAATCAATGACCTAAAATGGGACAAAAATTACAACGTTGCACATTTGAAAGATATATATTAGGTCTGTAAACTACACATTTGTTTCATTATATGATGAAATCACTGAAATAAAAATATCCAAATACATGTTTGTCCATGTAGTTGAACAGCATTTCAACACCATATCAACGAATATTCGTTAAGCAGGGGGCTGTGTGGTACACATGGGTTAAACAGTTCGCACGTCCCGTCGAAGACACGGTTTCGATTCTCCACATGGGTAAAATGTGTGAAGCCCGTTTCTGGTGTCCGCCGCCATGATATTGCTAGACTATTGCAAAAAAACCGGTGGAAAACAATACTCACTCACTCATGTTAAGGAGAATCTATTTCATGTGATTTAAAAGTGGGAAAACGAGTAATTCAGAATGAATACATCACATCAGATTTATTTGTTTGCTGTTTAATGTCACAGTCATAAATTGTTAAGCTATATGACGGCGTATTGCAAATAACGTAGTCTTTGCTTGACAAACAATAATTGATAGTATAATAAAAGCGACAAAACTTTTTCCATATTTGTAAGAAAAGAGATAGAATTCCGCATGTGCCAATTAGACGTCAATAAAGGATCCATGACTTCCGACTTCCATATTGTCTCATTGAATGTTGTTATGTTACATAAGCCTTATTAACCTCACTCATTCTTCATTTAGATCTGTAACACTGAATCACGACTGATAAATGTGACCCTCACAAGTGTTGATAAAGGATCTTTAGTTACCACGCCTGTCAGCAAGTTTGTCCAGGTGCTCGATGACGATGGTGGTGAGTCAATATAATTAATTAAACTATTCAATACCCTTTAATATGCTAATCTATTTTTCACTACATACAGTGGTATCTAAAAATGTTAGATCTAATAAAGGTAAATATCAAGTTCAAATGTCATTATAAATGTGTCTCGTTGCATCATTTCATTCAATTTAATTGGAAGTAATACACGGGAAACGTTGTACACTGTTTCTGTAAATAAAGTGCCTTTCAACGGTAATTTTCTTGTCCTTTACCTGCATGTATCCATTGAAGTATACAACATGTCATTGGTCAGCTTCTGATGTTGTTATATTAAATATTAGGATCACGAATACAAAATGTTGAAAAACATGTATACAAATGATGTTGCAAAAAGAAGTTGCATGTGTTTTGGTGTCATCATGAATGCAAATACTGTCGAAAATTTATAGAAACAACCTCAAGCCAGCGAGTTTTCTTTTAAACGTGCTATTATATTATCCGTCCATAGAATTAGTTTGGCACATATCATAAGGTCAAATATCAAGGTCATGTGTCATAATTTTTCACTTGTCTAATCAACCGACTGTTGTTTGTCCTAATTATATTTGTATGGTTGCCTTTCATTGAACCCCACCATGAACCATCAGAGTGTGAAGATTGCAGCCAATGTGTGGAGGTTGTTTTAGTTATGATCTGCTTCAGAGTGGACCGAATGGACAACTATACTAGGCGTCTGTGATTGTTCCACCAGCACCCAACCACGGACAAGGAATAGAACATGTGATGACAAAGGACAGCCATTTCGAACCTGTGTTGGAGACTCGAGCGTGATGGACACCATCGATTGTTCAGGCGATCCACGTTGCACCACCGCAGGTGATTTTTGTATTTGTACCATTCAAATTAGGCCAGTTATATATAATCACCAGAGAATATTCACTCTCGAATATCCATCTAAACGGATTTAATAGTGCGTAAAAGGCAAATTAGTGGTGAAAAGTATATGAATGAATAACTGAAAATCAATGATGACACAAAGTGTCCGCGAAACCTGTTTTAGCTTCCAATGACTTTTGGTCAAAACTAGGTGGAAACGAGGGTGGATTTGTTGTTTCTCTAAGCCTATTCTTATGTACACGTGATCTCTGACGACCACTACCCCTCATAGAGTCAGCATCCAAAATTTGATTTGGAAATCTGTTCTTAATGGAGCTTATGAACGAAGAATAATTTTGGCTGGCCGTTTATGCACGATTTTTGAGTGTTTAAAATCTGAGATCAAATTCGAGCAATTTCGCGAGGAGATTTTTTTCCAAACAATAACATTGTCTCCTTTCTCTCGAGATATCAAAAGGTCGTCCTCGTAAATAAGAGTCCATTATGTAGCTCTCCTTATAATACTTTAATACTCCCGTGTTGATACTATCAAAAGACAATGTTAGTTTATCCTGCGTTATCACATTAAACCCCCACAGTTAATTCTAGAATAAAACATTCATATGTTGTATGTCATTGCATAATTGATAACCATCAAATATCAGTAGTATAAACACACCAGAAATAATAGCACGCATTTATTCACTCTTTGCTTTTACTTCCCCGACTACAGCATTAACAACAACAACAACCACTTCAGTACCAACTACAACACCTTCACCAACCACACCTACGACAGCAATGCCGACTACAACACCATCACCTACATCTACAGGTACTTATCAGTCACTTTCTACTGATTTGTTTGAAAATACATAATCGTAGTTATTCATGACCTGGTACGCCTTCTTTTTTTATTATCCTGCATTATCAGTGATTACAGATGTTTGTTCACTCTCAGTGTGGATCCACCTTCAACTTCAGTATTGATGGGTTTCAACTATAAGCATATTCCTAATGCAAAAGATTTGCATTTGATTGGAGAGATGGTGAACAGTACTGACTACGTGAAATATCTAGACCACAATTTAGGATTTTCTTCAGCCTTTAGGGCTAAGGTATTAGGGAGAAAAAAAACATTCCTACTACCTGTAATACTACAATCATTTTTGGTCTGCAGATTTTATTGCCTTCATTCCTGATAAGGAGTACATCTTTGAGAACAGGACCGAAAACTGTGTCACATTGATGCGGGCAGGAACTGCGAATGGCGATATCACAGTTTCCTACACCATCGGAGGAATAGGAATCACATCCCCTGAAGATTTTGTGTCTGGGGATTTCCAAATAGTTTATCCTCCAGCTTCAAGCACAATAAAAATCAACGTAACATTTAATGATAACACAGTAAGTTCTTGTTCAAATGGTCTGACATATTTCCTATCACTTGAGAACCTATTTTTCATTTTTTTAGATTGGATTGCTACACATGACAGAATACGCTAATGTTCAAAGCACATTGATCGATCCCATTGTGAAAACGACATGATTAACAGGATTGATGTGACATTGTGGTTGTACCGTTTCGTTCACAGGAACCTCTGAGCGTTTTGAAAATTAGTAGATATTCTGACATGTGCTTAGAAAATTCGTAAGTGACAAACATGAAATGATAATCAATGACCTAAAATGGGACAAAAATTACAACGTTGCACATTTGAAAGATATATATTAGGTCTGTAAACTACACATTTGTTTCATTATATGATGAAATCACTGAAATAAAAATATCCAAATACATGTTTGTCCATGTAGTTGAACAGCATTTCAACACCATATCAACGAATATTCGTTAAGCAGGGGGCTGTGTGGTACACATGGGTTAAACAGTTCGCACGTCCCGTCGAAGACACGGTTTCGATTCTCCACATGGGTAAAATGTGTGAAGCCCGTTTCTGGTGTCCGCCGCCATGATATTGCTAGACTATTGCAAAAAAACCGGTGGAAAACAATACTCACTCACTCATGTTAAGGAGAATCTATTTCATGTGATTTAAAAGTGGGAAAACGAGTAATTCAGAATGAATACATCACATCAGATTTATTTGTTTGCTGTTTAATGTCACAGTCATAAATTGTTAAGCTATATGACGGCGTATTGCAAATAACGTAGTCTTTGCTTGACAAACAATAATTGATAGTATAATAAAAGCGACAAAACTTTTTCCATATTTGTAAGAAAAGAGATAGAATTCCGCATGTGCCAATTAGACGTCAATAAAGGATCCATGACTTCCGACTTCCATATTGTCTCATTGAATGTTGTTATGTTACATAAGCCTTATTAACCTCACTCATTCTTCATTTAGATCTGTAACACTGAATCACGACTGATAAATGTGACCCTCACAAGTGTTGATAAAGGATCTTTAGTTACCACGCCTGTCAGCAAGTTTGTCCAGGTGCTCGATGACGATGGTGGTGAGTCAATATAATTAATAAAACTATTCAATACCCTTTAATATGCTAATCTATTTTTCACTACATACAGTGGTATCTAAAAATGTTAGATCTAATAAAGGTAAATATCAAGTTCAAATGTCATTATAAATGTGTCTCGTTGCATCATTTCATTCAATTTAATTGGAAGTAATACACGGGAAACGTTGTACACTGTTTCTGTAAATAAAGTGCCTTTCAACGGTAATTTTCTTGTCCTTTACCTGCATGTATCCATTGAAGTATACAACATGTCATTGGTCAGCTTCTGATGTTGTTATATTAAGTATTAGGATCACGAATACAAAATGTTGAAAAACATGTATACAAATGATGTTGCAAAAAGAAGTTGCATGTGTTTTGGTGTCATCATGAATGCAAATACTGTCGAAAATTTATAGAAACAACCTCAAGCCAGCGAGTTTTCTTTTAAACGTGCTATTATATTATCCGTCCATAGAATTAGTTTGGCACATATCATAAGGTCAAATATCAAGGTCATGTGTCATAATTTTTCACTTGTCTAATCAACCGACTGTTGTTTGTCCTAATTATATTTGTATGGTTGCCTTTCATTGAACCCCACCATGAACCATCAGAGTGTGAAGATTGCAGCCAATGTGTGGAGGTTGTTTTAGTTATGATCTGCTTCAGAGTGGACCGAATGGACAACTATACTAGGCGTCTGTGATTGTTCCACCAGCACCCAACCACGGACAAGGAATAGAACATGTGATGACAAAGGACAGCCATTTCGAACCTGTGTTGGAGACTCGAGCGTGATGGACACCATCGATTGTTCAGGCGATCCACGTTGCACCACCGCAGGTGATTTTTGTATTTGTACCATTCAAATTAGGCCAGTTATATATAATCACCAGAGAATATTCACTCTCGAATATCCATCTAAACGGATTTAATAGTGCGTAAAAGGCAAATTAGTGGTGAAAAGTATATGAATGAATAACTGAAAATCAATGATGACACAAAGTGTCCGCGAAACCTGTTTTAGCTTCCAATGACTTTTGGTCAAAACTAGGTGGAAACGAGGGTGGATTTGTTGTTTCTCTAAGCCTATTCTTATGTACACGTGATCTCTGACGACCACTACCCCTCATAGAGTCAGCATCCAAAATTTGATTTGGAAATCTGTTCTTAATGGAGCTTATGAACGAAGAATAATTTTGGCTGGCCGTTTATGCACGATTTTTGAGTGTTTAAAATCTGAGATCAAATTCGAGCAATTTCGCGAGGAGATTTTTTTCCAAACAATAACATTGTCTCCTTTCTCTCGAGATATCAAAAGGTCGTCCTCGTAAATAAGAGTCCATTATGTAGCTCTCCTTATAATACTTTAATACTCCCGTGTTGATACTATCAAAAGACAATGTTAGTTTATCCTGCGTTATCACATTAAACCCCCACAGTTAATTCTAGAATAAAACATTCATATGTTGTATGTCATTGCATAATTGATAACCATCAAATATCAGTAGTATAAACACACCAGAAATAATAGCACGCATTTATTCACTCTTTGCTTTTACTTCCCCGACTACAGCATTAACAACAACAACAACCACTTCAGTACCAACTACAACACCTTCACCAACCACACCTACGACAGCAATGCCGACTACAACACCATCACCTACATCTACAGGTACTTATCAGTCACTTTCTACTGATTTGTTTGAAAATACATAATCGTAGTTATTCATGACCTGGTACGCCTTCTTTTTTTATTATCCTGCATTATCAGTGATTACAGATGTTTGTTCACTCTCAGTGTGGATCCACCTTCAACTTCAGTATTGATGGGTTTCAACTATAAGCATATTCCTAATGCAAAAGATTTGCATTTGATTGGAGAGATGGTGAACAGTACTGACTACGTGAAATATCTAGACCACAATTTAGGATTTTCTTCAGCCTTTAGGGCTAAGGTATTAGGGAGAAAAAAAACATTCCTACTACCTGTAATACTACAATCATTTTTGGTCTGCAGATTTTATTGCCTTCATTCCTGATACGGAGTACATCTTTGAGAACAGGACCGAAAACTGTGTCACATTGATGCGGGCAGGAACTGCGAATGGCGATATCACAGTTTCCTACACCATCGGAGGAATAGGAATCACATCCCCTGAAGATTTTGTGTCTGGGGATTTCCAAATAGTTTATCCTCCAGCTTCAAGCACAATAAAAATCAACGTAACATTTAATGATAACACAGTAAGTTCTTGTTCAAATGGTCTGACATATTTCCTATCACTTGAGAACCTATTTTTCATTTTTTTAGATTGGATTGCTACACATGACAGAATACGCTAATGTTCAAAGCACATTGATCGATCCCATTGTGAAAACGACATGATTAACAGGATTGATGTGACATTGTGGTTGTACCGTTTCGTTCACAGGAACCTCTGAGCGTTTTGAAAATTAGTAGATATTCTGACATGTGCTTAGAAAATTCGTAAGTGACAAACATGAAATGATAATCAATGACCTAAAATGGGACAAAAATTACAACGTTGCACATTTGAAAGATATATATTAGGTCTGTAAACTACACATTTGTTTCATTATATGATGAAATCACTGAAATAAAAATATCCAAATACATGTTTGTCCATGTAGTTGAACAGCATTTCAACACCATATCAACGAATATTCGTTAAGCAGGGGGCTGTGTGGTACACATGGGTTAAACAGTTCGCACGTCCCGTCGAAGACACGGTTTCGATTCTCCACATGGGTAAAATGTGTGAAGCCCGTTTCTGGTGTCCGCCGCCATGATATTGCTAGACTATTGCAAAAAACCGGTGGAAAACAATACTCACTCACTCATGTTAAGGAGAATCTATTTCATGTGATTTAAAAGTGGGAAAACGAGTAATTCAGAATGAATACATCACATCAGATTTATTTGTTTGCTGTTTAATGTCACAGTCATAAATTGTTAAGCTATATGACGGCGTATTGCAAATAACGTAGTCTTTGCTTGACAAACAATAATTGATAGTATAATAAAAGCGACAAAACTTTTTCCATATTTGTAAGAAAAGAGATAGAATTCCGCATGTGCCAATTAGACGTCAATAAAGGATCCATGACTTCCGACTTCCATATTGTCTCATTGAATGTTGTTATGTTACATAAGCCTTATTAACCTCACTCATTCTTCATTTAGATCTGTAACACTGAATCACGACTGATAAATGTGACCCTCACAAGTGTTGATAAAGGATCTTTAGTTACCACGCCTGTCAGCAAGTTTGTCCAGGTGCTCGATGACGATGGTGGTGAGTCAATATAATTAACAAAACTATTCAATACCCTTTAATATGCTAATCTATTTTTCACTACATACAGTGGTATCTAAAAATGTTAGATCTAATAAAGGTAAATATCAAGTTCAAATGTCATTATAAATTTGTCTCGTTGCATCATTTCATTCAATTTAATTGGAAGTAATACACGGGAAACGTTGTACACTGTTTCTGTAAATAAAGTGCCTTTCAACGGTAATTTTCTTGTCCTTTACCTGCATGTATCCATTGAAGTATACAACATGTCATTGGTCAGCTTCTGATGTTGTTATATTAAGTATTTGCATTACGAATACAAAATGTTGCAAAAACATGTATACAAATGATGTTGCAAAAAGAAGTTGCATGTGTTTTGGTGTCATCATGAATGCAAATACTGTCGTAAATTTATAGAAACAACCTCAAGCCAGCGAGTTTTCTTTTAAACGTGCTATTATATTATCCGTCCATAGAATTAGATTGGCACATATCATAAGGTCAAATATCAAGGTCATGTGTCATAATTTTTCACTTGTCTAATCAACTGACTGTTGTTTGTCCTTATAATATTTGTATGGTTGCCTTTCATTGAACCCCATCATGAACCATCAGAGTGTGAAGATTGCAGCCAATGTGTGGAGGTTGTTTTAGTTATGATCTGCTTCAGAGTGGACCGAATGGACAACTATACTAGGCGTCTGTGATTGTTCCACCAGCACCCAACCACGGACAAGGAATAGAACATGTGATGACAAAGGACAGCCATTTCGAACCTGTGTTGGAGACTCGAGCGTGATGGACACCATCGATTGTTCTGGCGATCCACGTTGCACCACCGCAGGTGATTTTTGTATTTGTACCATTCAAATTAGGCCAGTTATATATAATCACCAGAGAATATTCACTCTCGAATATCCATCCAAACGGATTTAATAGTGCGTAAAAGGCAAATAAGTGGTAAAAAGTATATGAATGAATAACTGAAAATCAATGATGACACAAAGTGTCCGCGAAACCTGTTTTAGCTTCCAATGACTTTTGGTCAAAACTAGGTGGAAACGAGGGTGGATTTGTTGTTTCTCTAAGCCTATTCTTATGTACACGTGATCTCTGACGACCACTACCCCTCATAGAGTCAGCATCCAAAATTTGATTTGGAAATCTGTTCTTAATGGAGCTTATGAATGAAGAATAATTTTGGCTGGCCGTTTATGCACGATTTTGAGTGTTTAAAATCTGAGATCAAATTCGAGCAATTTCGCGAGGAGATTTTTTCCAAACAATAACATTGTCTCCTTTCTCTCGAGATATCAAAAGGTCGTCCTCGTAAATAAGAGTCCATTATGTAGCTCTCCTTATAATACTTTAATACTCCCGTGTTGATACTATCAAAAGACAATGTTAGTTTATCCTGCGTTATCACATTAAACCCCCACAGTTAATTCTAGAATAAAACATTCATATGTTGTATGTCATTGCATAATTGATAACCATCAAATATCAGTAGTATAAACACACCAGAAATAATAGCACGCATTTATTCACTCTTTGCTTTTACTTCCCCGACTACAGCATTAACAACAACAACAACCACTTCAGTACCAACTACAACACCTTCACCAACCACACCGACGACAGCAGTGCCGACTACAACACCATCACCTACATCTACAGGTACTTATCAGTCACTTTCTACTGATTTGTTTGAAAATACATAATCGTAGTTATTCATGACCTGGTACGCCTTCTTTTTTTATTATCCTGCATTATCAGTGATTACAGATGTTTGTTCACTCTCAGTGTGGATCCACCTTCAACTTCAGTATTGATGGGTTTCAACTATAAGCATATTCCTAATGCAAAAGATTTGCATTTGATTGGAGAGATGGTGAACAGTACTGACTACGTGAAATATCTAGACCACAATTTAGGATTTTCTTCAGCCTTTAGGGCTAAGGTATTAGGGAGAAAAAAAACATTCCTACTACCTGTAATACTTCAATCATTTTTGGTCTGCAGATTTTATTGCCTTCATTCCTGATACGGAGTACATCTTTGAGAACAGGACCGAAAACTGTGTCACATTGATGCGTGCAGGAACTGCGAATGGCGATATCACAGTTTCCTACACCATCGGAGGAATAGGAATCACATCCCCTGAAGATTTTGTGTCTGGGGATTTCCAAATAGTTTATCCTCCAGCTTCAAGCACAATAAAAATCAACGTAACATTTAATGATAACACAGTAAGTTCTTGTTCAAATGGTCTGACATATTTCCTATCACTTGAGAACCTATTTTTCATTTTTTTAGATTGGATTGCTACACATGACAGAATACGCTAATGTTCAAAGCACATTGATCGATCCCATTGTGAAAACGACATGATTAACAGGATTGATGTGACATTGTGGTTGTACCGTTTCATTCACAGGAACCTCTGAGCGTTTTGAAAATTAGTATATATTCTGACATGTGCTTAGAAAATTCGTAAGTGACAAACATAAAATGATAATCAATGACCTAAAATGGGACAAAAATTACAACGTTGCACATTTGAAAGATATATATTAGGTCTGTAAACTACACATTTGTTTCATTATATGATGAAATCACTGAAATAAAAATATCCAAATACATGTTTGTCCATGTAGTTGAACAGCATTTCAACACCATATCAACGAATATTCGTTAAGCAGGGGGCTGTGTGGTACACATTGGTTAAACAGTTCGCTCGTCCCGTCGAAGACGCGGTTTCGATTGTCCACATGGGTAAAATGTGTGAAGCCCGTTTCTGGTGTCCACCGCCATGATATTGCTAGACTATTGCAAAAAAAACGGTGGAAAACAATACTCATTCACTCACTCATGTTAAGGAGAATCTATTTCATGTGATTTAAAAGTGGGAAAACGAGTAATTCAGAATGAATACATCACATCAGATTTATTTGTTTGCTGTTTAATGTCACAGTCATAAATTGTTAAGCTATATGACGGCGTATTGCAAATAACGTAGTCTTTGCTTGACAAACAATAATTGATAGTATAATAAAAGCGACAAAACTTTTTCCATATTTGTAAGAAAAGAGATAGAATTCCGCATGTGCCAATTAGACGTCAATAAAGGATCCATGACTTCCGACTTCCATATTGTCTCATTGAATGTTGTTATGTTACATAAGCCTTATTAACCTCACTCATTCTTCATTTAGATCTGTAACACTGAATCACGACTGATAAATGTGACCCTCACAAGTGTTGATAAAGGATCTTTAGTTACCACGCCTGTCAGCAAGTTTGTCCAGGTGCTCGATGACGATGGTGGTGAGTCAATATAATTAATAAAACTATTCAATACCCTTTAATATGCTAATCTATTTTTTCCCTACATACAGTGGTATCTAAAAATGTTAGATCTAATAAAGGTAAATATCAAGTTCAAATGTCATTATAAATTTGTCTCGTTGCATCATTTCATTCAATTTAATTGGAAGTAATACACGGGAAACGTTGTACACTGTTTCTGTAAATAAAGTGCCTTTCAACGGTAATTTTCTTGTCCTTTACCTGCATGTATCCATTGAAGTATACAACATGTCATTGGTCAGCTTCTGATGTTGTTATATTAAGTATTAGGATCACGAATACAAAATGTTGAAAAACATGTATACAAATGATGTTGCAAAAAGAAGTTGCATGTGTTTTGGTGTCATCATGAATGCAAATACTGTCGTAAATTTATAGAAACAATCTCAAGCCAGCGAGTTTTCTTTTAAACGTGCTATTATATTATCCGTCCATAGAATTAGTTTGGCACATATCATAAGGTCAAATATCAAGGTCATGTGTCATAATTTTTCACTTGTCTAATCAACCGACTGTTGTTTGTCCTAATTATATTTGTATGGTTGCCTTTCATTGAACCCCACCATGAACCATCAGAGTGTGAAGATTGCAGCCAATGTGTGGAGGTTGTTTTAGTTATGATCTGCTTCAGAGTGGACCGAATGGACAACTATACTAGGCGTCTGTGATTGTTCCACCAGCACCCAACCACGGACAAGGAATAGAACATGTGATGACAAAGGACAGCCATTTCGAACCTGTGTTGGAGACTCGAGCGTGATGGACACCATCGATTGTTCTGGCGATCCACGTTGCACCACCGCAGGTGATTTTTGTATTTGTACCATTCAAATTAGGCCAGTTATATATAATCACCAGAGAATATTCACTCTCGAATATCCATCCAAACGGATTTAATAGTGCGTAAAAGGCAAATTAGTGGTGAAAAGTATATAAATGAATAACTGAAAATCAATGATGACACAAAGTGTTCGCGAAACCTGTTTTAGCTTCCAATGACTTTTGGTCAAAACAAGGTGGAAACGAGGGTGGATTTGTTGTTTCTCTAAGCCTATTCTTATGTACACGTGATCTCTGACGACCACTACCCCTCATAGAGTCAGCATCCAAAATTTGATTTGGAAATCTGTTCTTAATGGAGCTTATGAATGAAGAATAATTTTGGCTGGCCGTTTATGCACGATTTTGAGTGTTTAAAATCTGAGATCAAATTCGAGCAATTTCGCGAGGAGATTTTTTCCAAACAATAACATTGTCTCCTTTCTCTCGAGATATCAAAAGGTCGTCCTCGTAAATAAGAGTCCATTATGTAGCTCTCCTTATAATACTTTAATACTCCCGTGTTGATACTATCAAAAGACAATGTTAGTTTATCCTGCGTTATCACATTAAACCCCCACAGTTAATTCTAGAATAAAACATTCATATGTTGTATGTCATTGCATAATTGATAACCATCAAATATCAGTAGTATAAACACACCAGAAATAATAGCACGCATTTATTCACTCTTTGCTTTTACTTCCCCGACTACAGCATTAACAACAACAACAACCACTTCAGTACCAACTACAACACCTTCACCAACCACACCTACGACAGCAGTGCCGACTACAACACCATCACCTACATCTACAGGTACTTATCAGTCACTTTCTACTGATTTGTTTGAAAATACATAATCGTAGTTATTCATGACCTGGTACGCCTTCTTTTTTTATTATCCTGCATTATCAGTGATTACAGATGTTTGTTCACTCTCAGTGTGGATCCACCTTCAACTTCAGTATTGATGGGTTTCAACTATAAGCATATTCCTAATGCAAAAGATTTGCATTTGATTGGAGAGATGGTGAACAGTACTGACTACGTGAAATATCTAGACCACAATTTAGGATTTTCTTCAGCCTTTAGGGCTAAGGTATTAGGGAGAAAAAAAACATTCCTACTACCTGTAATACTTCAATCATTTTTGGTCTGCAGATTTTATTGCCTTCATTCCTGATACGGAGTACATCTTTGAGAACAGGACCGAAAACTGTGTCACATTGATGCGGGCAGGAACTGCGAATGGCGATATCACAGTTTCCTACACCATCGGAGGAATAGGAATCACATCCCCTGAAGATTTTGTGTCTGGGGATTTCCAAATAGTTTATCCTCCAGCTTCAAGCACAATAAAAATCAACGTAACATTTAATGATAACACAGTAAGTTCTTGTTCAAATGGTCTGACATATTTCCTATCACTTGAGAACCTATTTTTCATTTTTTTAGATTGGATTGCTACACATGACAGAATACGCTAATGTTCAAAGCACATTGATCGATCCCATTGTGAAAACGACATGATTAACAGGATTGATGTGACATTGTGGTTGTACCGTTTCATTCACAGGAACCTCTGAGCGTTTTGAAAATTAGTATATATTCTGACATGTGCTTAGAAAATTCGTAAGTGACAAACATAAAATGATAATCAATGACCTAAAATGGGACAAAAATTACAACGTTGCACATTTGAAAGATATATATTAGGTCTGTAAACTACACATTTGTTTCATTATATGATGAAATCACTGAAATAAAAATATCCAAATACATGTTTGTCCATGTAGTTGAACAGCATTTCAACACCATATCAACGAATATTCGTTAAGCAGGGGGCTGTGTGGTACACATTGGTTAAACAGTTCGCTCGTCCCGTCGAAGACGCGGTTTCGATTGTCCACATGGGTAAAATGTGTGAAGCCCGTTTCTGGTGTCCACCGCCATGATATTGCTAGACTATTGCAAAAAAAACGGTGGAAAACAATACTCATTCACTCACTCATGTTAAGGAGAATCTATTTCATGTGATTTAAAAGTGGGAAAACGAGTAATTCAGAATGAATACATCACATCAGATTTATTTGTTTGCTGTTTAATGTCACAGTCATAAATTGTTAAGCTATATGACGGCGTATTGCAAATAACGTAGTCTTTGCTTGACAAACAATAATTGATAGTATAATAAAAGCGACAAAACTTTTTCCATATTTGTAAGAAAAGAGATAGAATTCCGCATGTGCCAATTAGACGTCAATAAAGGATCCATGACTTCCGACTTCCATATTGTCTCATTGAATGTTGTTATGTTACATAAGCCTTATTAACCTCACTCATTCTTCATTTAGATCTGTAACACTGAATCACGACTGATAAATGTGACCCTCACAAGTGTTGATAAAGGATCTTTAGTTACCACGCCTGTCAGCAAGTTTGTCCAGGTGCTCGATGACGATGGTGGTGAGTCAATATAATTAATAAAACTATTCAATACCCTTTAATATGCTAATCTATTTTTTCCCTACATACAGTGGTATCTAAAAATGTTAGATCTAATAAAGGTAAATATCAAGTTCAAATGTCATTATAAATTTGTCTCGTTGCATCATTTCATTCAATTTAATTGGAAGTAATACACGGGAAACGTTGTACACTGTTTCTGTAAATAAAGTGCCTTTCAACGGTAATTTTCTTGTCCTTTACCTGCATGTATCCATTGAAGTATACAACATGTCATTGGTCAGCTTCTGATGTTGTTATATTAAGTATTAGGATCACGAATACAAAATGTTGAAAAACATGTATACAAATGATGTTGCAAAAAGAAGTTGCATGTGTTTTGGTGTCATCATGAATGCAAATACTGTCGTAAATTTATAGAAACAATCTCAAGCCAGCGAGTTTTCTTTTAAACGTGCTATTATATTATCCGTCCATAGAATTAGTTTGGCACATATCATAAGGTCAAATATCAAGGTCATGTGTCATAATTTTTCACTTGTCTAATCAACCGACTGTTGTTTGTCCTAATTATATTTGTATGGTTGCCTTTCATTGAACCCCACCATGAACCATCAGAGTGTGAAGATTGCAGCCAATGTGTGGAGGTTGTTTTAGTTATGATCTGCTTCAGAGTGGACCGAATGGACAACTATACTAGGCGTCTGTGATTGTTCCACCAGCACCCAACCACGGACAAGGAATAGAACATGTGATGACAAAGGACAGCCATTTCGAACCTGTGTTGGAGACTCGAGCGTGATGGACACCATCGATTGTTCTGGCGATCCACGTTGCACCACCGCAGGTGATTTTTGTATTTGTACCATTCAAATTAGGCCAGTTATATATAATCACCAGAGAATATTCACTCTCGAATATCCATCCAAACGGATTTAATAGTGCGTAAAAGGCAAATTAGTGGTGAAAAGTATATAAATGAATAACTGAAAATCAATGATGACACAAAGTGTTCGCGAAACCTGTTTTAGCTTCCAATGACTTTTGGTCAAAACAAGGTGGAAACGAGGGTGGATTTGTTGTTTCTCTAAGCCTATTCTTATGTACACGTGATCTCTGACGACCACTACCCCTCATAGAGTCAGCATCCAAAATTTGATTTGGAAATCTGTTCTTAATGGAGCTTATGAATGAAGAATAATTTTGGCTGGCCGTTTATGCACGATTTTGAGTGTTTAAAATCTGAGATCAAATTCGAGCAATTTCGCGAGGAGATTTTTTCCAAACAATAACATTGTCTCCTTTCTCTCGAGATATCAAAAGGTCGTCCTCGTAAATAAGAGTCCATTATGTAGCTCTCCTTATAATACTTTAATACTCCCGTGTTGATACTATCAAAAGACAATGTTAGTTTATCCTGCGTTATCACATTAAACCCCCACAGTTAATTCTAGAATAAAACATTCATATGTTGTATGTCATTGCATAATTGATAACCATCAAATATCAGTAGTATAAACACACCAGAAATAATAGCACGCATTTATTCACTCTTTGCTTTTACTTCCCCGACTACAGCATTAACAACAACAACAACCACTTCAGTACCAACTACAACACCTTCACCAACCACACCTACGACAGCAGTGCCGACTACAACACCATCACCTACATCTACAGGTACTTATCAGTCACTTTCTACTGATTTGTTTGAAAATACATAATCGTAGTTATTCATGACCTGGTACGCCTTCTTTTTTTATTATCCTGCATTATCAGTGATTACAGATGTTTGTTCACTCTCAGTGTGGATCCACCTTCAACTTCAGTATTGATGGGTTTCAACTATAAGCATATTCCTAATGCAAAAGATTTGCATTTGATTGGAGAGATGGTGAACAGTACTGACTACGTGAAATATCTAGACCACAATTTAGGATTTTCTTCAGCCTTTAGGGCTAAGGTATTAGGGAGAAAAAAAACATTCCTACTACCTGTAATACTTCAATCATTTTTGGTCTGCAGATTTTATTGCCTTCATTCCTGATACGGAGTACATCTTTGAGAACAGGACCGAAAACTGTGTCACATTGATGCGGGCAGGAACTGCGAATGGCGATATCACAGTTTCCTACACCATCGGAGGAATAGGAATCACATCCCCTGAAGATTTTGTGTCTGGGGATTTCCAAATAGTTTATCCTCCAGCTTCAAGCACAATAAAAATCAACGTAACATTTAATGATAACACAGTAAGTTCTTGTTCAAATGGTCTGACATATTTCCTATCACTTGAGAACCTATTTTTCATTTTTTTAGATTGGATTGCTACACATGACAGAATACGCTAATGTTCAAAGCACATTGATCGATCCCATTGTGAAAACGACATGATTAACAGGATTGATGTGACATTGTGGTTGTACCGTTTCATTCACAGGAACCTCTGAGCGTTTTGAAAATTAGTATATATTCTGACATGTGCTTAGAAAATTCGTAAGTGACAAACATAAAATGATAATCAATGACCTAAAATGGGACAAAAATTACAACGTTGCACATTTGAAAGATATATATTAGGTCTGTAAACTACACATTTGTTTCATTATATGATGAAATCACTGAAATAAAAATATCCAAATACATGTTTGTCCATGTAGTTGAACAGCATTTCAACACCATATCAACGAATATTCGTTAAGCAGGGGGCTGTGTGGTACACATGGGTTAAACAGTTCGCTCGTCCCGTCGAAGACACGGTTTCGATTCTCCACATGGGTAAAATGTGTGAAGCCCGTTTCTGGTGTCCGCCGCCATGATATTGCTAGACTATTGCAAAAAAACCGGTGGAAAACAATACTCATTCACTCACTCATGTTAAGGAGAATCTATTTCATGTGATTTAAAAGTGGGAAAACGAGTAATTCAGAATGAATACATCACATCAGATTTATTTGTTTGCTGTTTAATGTCACAGTCATAAATTGTTAAGCTATATGACGGCGTATTGCAAATAACGTAGTCTTTACTTGACAAACAATAATTGATAGTATAATAAAAGCGACAAAACTTTTTCCATATTTGTAAGAAAAGAGATAGAATTCCGCATGTGCCAATTAGACGTCAATAAAGGATCCATGACTTCCGACTTCCATATTGTCTCATTGAATGTTGTTATGTTACATAAGCCTTATTAACCTCACTCATTCTTCATTTAGATCTGTAACACTGAATCACGACTGATAAATGTGACCCTCACAAGTGTTGATAAAGGATCTTTAGTTACCACGCCTGTCAGCAAGTTTGTCCAGGTGCTCGATGACGATGGTGGTGAGTCAATATAATTAATAAAACTATTCAATACCCTTTAATATGCTAATCTATTTTTTCCCTACATACAGTGGTATCTAAAAATGTTAGATCTAATAAAGGTAAATATCAAGTTCAAATGTCATTATAAATTTGTCTCGTTGCATCATTTCATTCAATTTAATTGGAAGTAATACACGGGAAACGTTGTACACTGTTTCTGTAAATAAAGTGCCTTTCAACGGTAATTTTCTTGTCCTTTACATGTATGTGCCCAGTGAAGAATACAATATGTCATGAGTCAGCTTCTGATGTTGTTATATTAAGTATTAGCATTACGAATACAAAATGTTGAAAAACATGTATGTAAATGATGATGCAAAAAGCGGTTTCGTGTCTTTTGGGGTTATCATGGATGCAAATACTGTTGTAAATTTAAAGAAACGACCTCGTATTATATTATCCGCCCATATAATTAGTTTGGCACATATCATAAGGTCAAATATCAAGGTCATGTGTCATAATTTTTCACTTGTCTAATCAACTGACTGTTGTTTGTTCTAATTATATTTGAATGGTTGCCTTTCATTGAACCCCATCATGAACCATCAGAGTTTCAAGATTGCAGCCAATGTGTGGAGGTTGTTTTATTTGTGATCTGCTTCAGAGTGGACCGAATGGACAGCTATACTAGGCGTCTGTGATTGTGCCACTAGCACCCAACCACGGACAAGGAATAGAACATGTGATGACAAAGGACAGTCATTTCGAACCTGTGTTGGAGACTCGAGCGTGATGGACACCATCGATTGTTCAGGCGATCCACGTTGTACCACCGCAGGTGATACTTGTATTTGTTGGTTCTGAAAGCTGATTCTTATGATCTCTCACGACCACTTCCCCTCGAAGTTCAAAAAGCCAGCATCCAAAGGAAATTTGATTTGGAAATCTGTTCTTAATGGAGCTTATGAACAAAGAATATTAAAAGCTTGCGGTTTGTGTCCGATTTTGAGTGTTTAAAATCTGAGATCAATTTCGAGCAATTGCGCGAGGAGATTTTGTGCTCCTTCTCTCGGGATATCAGAGTAAAGTGTGTGATCCATGCGTGTTTATGCCGCGTTATTATCACTTAAAAAACCCTAAGTTAAGTCAAGAGTAAAACATTCATACATGGTATGTCATTGTATAATTCATATCCATCTAATACCATTAGTATAAATATACTTGAAATAAGAGCACGCATTTGTTCACTCTTTGCTTTTATTTCCCCGACTACAGCTTTGACAACAACGACATCAATACCAACAACAGCACTTCCCACAACTACGACTTCAGTTGAAACAACAACCATGATAGCATTATCAACTACAACGCCATCGCCAACCACAACCACGTCATCAGGACCCACCACAACACCCTCACTTACCACAACAACAAGATTAATACCGCCCACAACACCATCACTAACCTCAACCACATCAGTGCCAACCACAACACAATCACTAACCACAACTACGACTTTCCAACCAACCACAAAATCATCGACCACCACAACTACGACGTCAGTACCGACCACAAAACCTTCACAAACAACAACTACGATTTTAAAACCCACCACAACACCACCACTTACAACTTCAACATCTTCACCAACCACAACACCCTCATTTACCACAACATCGATATCGATACCATCTGCAACACATTCACCAACCACAACCACAACCACGATGTTAGAACCAACCACAACACAATCACCAACCACAACTAGGACATCAGTACCAACCACAACACCCTCACTTACCACAACTTCCATATCGATAACATCTGTAACACCTTCACCAACCACAACAACGACGTCAATACCAACCACAACACCATCACAAACCACAACTACGGCATCAGTAACACCCCCAACACCTTCATCAATCACAACTACATCATTGCAAACCACAACACCCTCACTTACCGCAACTACGACATCGATAACAACTACAACACCTTCCCCAACCACAACTACGACATCAATACCAACACCAACACCATCACAAACCACAACTACGATGGCAATACCGACCACAACACCATCACAAACCACACCTACGACATCAGTACCAACCACAACACCATCACAAACCACAACTACGATGGCATTACAGACTACAACACCATCACAAACCACACCAACGACATCAGTACCGACCACAACACCATCACAAACCACAACAACGACATCAGTACCAACCACAACACCATCACAAACCACAACTACGACATCAGTACCAACCAAAACACCATCACAAACCACAACTACGATGGCAATACCGACCACAACTCCATCACAAACCACAACTACGACATCAGAACCAACCACAACACCATCACAAACTACAACTACGATGGCAATACCGACCACAACACCATCACAAACCACAACTACGACATCAGTACCAACCACAACACCCTCATTTACCACAACTACGACATCGATAACAACTACAACACCTTCCCCAACCACAACTACGACATCAATACAAACCACAACACCATCACAAACCACACCTACGACATCAGAACCAACCACAACACCATCACAAACCACAACTACGATGGCAATACCGACTACAACACCATCACAAACCACAACAACGACATCAGTACCAACCACAACACCCTCATTTACCACAACTACGACATCGATAACAACTACAACACCTTCACCAACCACAACTACGACATCAATACCAACCACAACACCATCACAAACCCCAACTACGACATCAGTACCAACCACAACACCATCACAAACCACAACTACGATGGCAATACCGACCACAACACCATCACAAACCACAACTACGACATCAGTACCAACCACAACACCCTCATTTACCACAACTTCGCCATCGATACCAACCACAACACCTTCACCAACCACAACTACGACATCACTACCAACCACAACACCATCACCAACCACAACTACGACATCAGTACCAACCACAACACCATCACAAACCACACCTACGACATCAGTACCAAACACAACACCATCACAAACCACAATTACGATGGCAATACCGACCACAACACCATCACAAACCACAACTACGACATCAGTACCAACTACAACACCATCACAAACCACAACTACGACATCAGTACCAACCACAACACCATCACAAACCATAACTACGATGGCAATACCGACCACAACACCATCACAAACCACAACTACGACATCAATACCAACCACAACACCATCACAAACCACACCTACGACATCAGTACCAACCACGACACCATCACAAACCACAACTACGACATCAGTACCAACCACAGCACCATCACAAACCACAACTACGACATCAATACCAACCACAGCACCATCACAAACAACAACTACGATGGCAATACCGACCACAACACCATCACAAACCACAACTACGACATCAGTACCAACCACAACACCATCACAAACCACAACTACGACATCAATACCAACCACAGCACCATCACAAACCACAACTACGATGGCAATACCGACCACAACACCATCACAAACCACAACTACGACATCAGTACCAACCACAACACCATCACAAACCACAACTACGACATCAATACCAACCACAACACCATCACAAACCACAACTACGATGGCAATACCGACCACAACACCATCACAAACCACACCTACGACATCAGTACCAACCACAACACCATCACAAACCACAACTACGACATCAGTACCAACCACAACACCATCACAAACCACAACTACGATGGCAATACCGACCACAACACCATCACAAACCACAACAACGACATCAGTACCAACCACAACACCATCACAAACCACACCTACGACATCAGTACCAACCACAACACCATCACAAACCACAACTACGACATCAATACCAACCACAACACCATCACAAACCACAACTACGATGGCAATACCGACCACAACACCATCACAAACCACACCTACGACATCAGTACCAACCACAACACCATCACAAACCACAACTACGACATCAGTACCAACCACAACACCATCACAAACCACAACTACGATGGCAATACCGACCACAACACCATCACAAACCACAACAACGACATCAGTACCAACCACAACACCATCACAAACCACACCTACGACATCAGTACCAACCACAACACCATCACAAACCACAACTACGATGGCAATACCGACCACAACACCATCACAAACCACAACTACGACATCAGTACCAACCACAGCACCATCACAAACCACAACAACGACATCAGTACCAACCACAACACCATCACAAACCACATCTACGACATCAATACCAACCACAACACCATCACAAACCACAACTACGACATCAGTTACAACCACAACACCATCACAAACCATAACTACGACGGCAATACCGACCACAACACCATCACAAACCACAACAACTACATTAATACCAACCACAACACCATCACAAACCACAACTACGACAACAGCACCAACCACTACACCATCACAAACCTCAACTACGACATCAATATCGACCACAACACCATCACAAACAACAACTACGATGGCAATACCAACCACAACACCATCACAAACCACAACTACGACATCAGTTCCAACCACAACACCCTCATTTACCACAACTTCGCCATCGATACCAACGGCAACACCTTCATCAACCACAACTAAGACATCACTACCAACCACAACACCTTCACCAACCACAACTACGGCATCAGTAACAACCACAACACCTTCACTAACCACAACTACGACATTACAACCAACCACAACACCATCACCAACAACTACGACATCAGTACCGACCACAACACCGTCACTAACTACGACAACTTGGGCAGCATGGTCGGCACCAACACCATGGACAGCATGGACAGCGCCAACACCATGGACATCATGGACGGCACCAACACCATGGACAGCATGGACAGCGCCAACACCATGGACAGCCTGGACGGCATCAACACCATGGACAGCATGGACGGCATCAACACCATGGACAGCATGGGCGGCACCAACACCATGGACAGCCTGGACGGCATCAACACCATGGACAGGCTGGTCGGCACCAACACCATGGACAGGCTGGTCGGCATCAACACCATGGACAGCATGGACGGCATCAACACCATGGACAGCATGGACGGCATCAACACCATGGACAGCATGGACGGCACCAACACCATGGACAGCATGGACGGCACCAACACCATGGACAGGCTGGTCGGCACCAACACCATGGACAGGCTGGTCGGCACCAACTCCATGGACAGCATGGACGGCATCAACACCATGGACAAAATGGACGGCACCAACACCATGGACAGCATGGACGGCATCAACACCATGGACAGAATGGACGGCACCAACACCATGGACAGGCTGGTCGGCACCAACACCATGGACAGGCTGGTCGGCACCAACACCATGGACAGCATGGACAGCGCCGACACCATGGACAGGCTGGTCGGCACCAACACCATGGACAGCATGGACAGCGCCGACACCATGGACAGCCTGGGCGGCACCAACACCAAGGACAGTTTGGACGGCACCAGCACCATGGACATCATGGACGGCACCAACACCATGGACACGCTGGACGGCACCATCACCATGGGCAGATTGGTCCGCACCAACACCATGGACAGATTGGTCAACGTCCAGTAAGTTTGGTACTGTACTCTTCATACTCAGATATATGTGCATCATTCTTACGATTATATGAGCATGAAGTAGTATCATATTCCACGACATGTACAATGGACCAACCATGTAATGTTCAGGCGAAGGGTGAGATTGAGACGGGGAAAGCGGAGGCGGGGTATCATGGATTCATTTCGAAAACAAGCACACAAAACCAACAAAAATCCTAAGACAACCCAAACCGCAACCCCGACCGCAGTCCAACCCACACGCCAGAGACGGTACCACATGTCTCATGCCCCCTCCTCTCTCTCCTGTCAGGATGCTACGGCCCCTGGGGCTGTTGGGAACCAGGGACGTGCTCTGTGTCCTGTGGGGAGGGCGTGACGGTGGAGAAGCGGACCAGAGAGCTGCTGGAATTTGCCACTAGTGACTGTAACGGCCCACTTAAAGAGCACAGACAATCAGCCTGCAACATGGGTGAATGTGATGGGGACGCAGGTGAGAGCCAGATAGGGAGATACCATCAGATTGATTGCAATGTGCAATGTACATTTATCGCTTTTACAAGACTTGCACTTCAAATATTTTATTCTATTTTATCATCATCAGTATCATCATAACTATCATCATCAAAAAACATCATAAAAAAGTATATATACTACCGACACTAAATTAGGGAAGCTATCATTGAGGTGATATCAATAGAGAATACCGTACAAGAACAGGAATCTTCCGTTAAAAACCTGCTCTCTGCAGCCTTCCTGAAAGCAAGGCGACCTGTGAAGGGCGTGACCCTAACTGCTTACCACAGGCGGCAAAGATTAGGTTGGGCAAGGCAACACCAGCAAAGGACTGTGTTACAGTGTTACACCATGTTACAGACGAATCAAGGTTTTGCCTTAATGGCAGAAAATGTTGTTGCCGACGTAGCGGTGAGCGGTATGCCAGGGCAACAATTCTTGACCATGATCAGCATTTGACGGTTGTACCATAGTGTGGGGTGGTATCAAGCAGGGAACTTGATTTGGCTATTATGATAGGACATTTGACTGCCTAGTGACATGTTGACGAAATTTTGCTTCCTGTCGTTCTCGGCTTCCGTCAGTCGTGCCAGGTTTTCGCTGTTCACTTTCTGTGAGATTGTGATGGCATGCAAATGAACACCCAGGTGATGTTGATGTCTTTCTGCCCCAGACTCTCACGTGTTGTGTTTTAGCGATGTTTCCATCTGCAGTACCTCATTCTTTTAACATTAATCAATCCCAGGCCATGCAGAAACTACCAATTCATATCTGATATTAATTTTGTATGGATGGCGGCAACACTCTGTCAGATATTTACTGATGTCGGCAACACTCTGTCAGATATTTACTGATGTCGGCAACACTCTGTCCGATATTTACTGATGTCGGCAACACTCTGTCAGATTTTTACTGATGTCGGCAACACTCTGTCCGATATTTACTGATGTCGGCAACACTCTGTCCGATATTTACTGATGTCGGCAACACTCTGTCCGATATTTACTGATGTCGGCAACACTCTGTCAGATATTTACTGATGTCGGCAACACTCTGTCAGATATTTACTGATGTCGGCAACACTCTGTCAGAAATTAATTGATGTCAGCAACACTCTGTCAGATATTTACTGATATCGGCAACAATCTGTCAGATATTTACTGATGTCGGCAACACTCTGTCAGATATTTACGATTTTACTACTTCTGCGTTTCGTTTTTTGCACAGTATACAAAAATATATAAAGAGATATATTTATCTCACCTTACATTAAAATACTAGCTTCTGATTGGTTAAGGAGCGGGCAATTATTTTCCATGGTAGCCTGCTCATGTATCCCGCTTAGAAATCAATCGGAACACACCCTAGGTAACTTGCTTACCTCGCATATATATCCTTGAGCTGAAATGAACAAATGTTTATCCCAATGCATTACATAAAGAGAAGTAACTCGTATCGTTTGCGTCGTCTGCTAGCTGTAAAAATGGCTGAATCGAAGCGTTTAACTCCGTAAACTTCAGACATATACTGCGGGTCCGTATCAATGAATGTCCGTGAGAAAAAAAATGTTGTCAACCGATCCTTCGGGTCATTTGATGTGATGTAACCTGTGTGTGTGCCGAAGTATTCCCCTCATGGCGGCTCGGGGTACATCGGCCCACACGCAGGGTACATCACACCTCATAGCCTTCGAGATCGGTTGACAACTTATAATGTATTATTTGACAATGATTGTTGCATTGGGCATTGACTTTTTTGTATTGATATCGTTACTAAGCACGTACATGGAATGTCTATTGACTGTGGCGTAAAATCAACAGCTTGCAATCACTTTCTTGAATGGAAACAAGATAAAGTACCATTGATTGTGTGGCGCGCTTCTTTCCAAAACAGGTCCTAAATGGGACTGTGAGTGAGTGTGTTTTATCGCCGGTTTGAACTGTAACATCTCAACATATGGGAGGAAAGTCCGACGTTTTGCTGATCTTAGACGTTGAAAATCATATGAACGGATCAGTGAAAATCAGTGATGACAAAGATGAAAGAGGGGAAAGTGGGCGAAATATCATGTCAAAGTCCTGATGATAGCTGTCCAATAAGGATTTTTGGAATGTTATTCTTTTTAGGTAAATAGGATTTTTACATATCTTCTTTTTTAACCAAAGCTTGCTCCAGTCTCCCCTTACATATGTGATCTGATAATCTGTGAATATCATGTGTCTGCTGGCATGTAAATGGATTCATCCAATACTTCTTACTGCACGTGGCAAATGCGCCTTTTCGTCCCGTGTACATTCCGAATTGGTCATTAACAACCCACGCTTGTCGTAAGAGGCGACTAACGTGATCGGGTGGTCAGGGTCGCTGATTTTGTTGACATGTCATCGTATCCCAACTGTGTAGATCGATGCTCATGATTTCAATCACTGGATTATCTGGTCCAGACTCGATTATTTACAGATTGCCGTCCATATAGCTGGAATCTTGCTGAGTGCGATGCTAAACAACAAACAAACAATCAAAAAGGTGCGCCTTCCAAATATAAAAAAACAAAACAATTGTATTTCTACAGATGTTGACGAGTGGACAGTGTGGGCTGGAGTGTCCCCGTGCTCAGCGACGTGCAGTGGCTATATGACCCAGAACCGTTACAGAGAGTGTACGGTACCAACGGGCTGCTCCTGGGACCTGATCCAGTCCAGACAAATGCCATGCTCCCATCCATGCTGGTAGTCTCCCAGTCAGGACGGAGGTGTGTATTTAATAGCCGTGAAACTATCACAGATATATACCTGTCTTCATGTGTGAAACTATCACAGATATGTACTTTTCTCCATCTGTGAAACTATCACAGATATGTACTTGTCCTCATCTGTGAGACTATCACAGGGGGTACTTGTTCTCATCTGTGAAACTATCACAGGTATGTGCTTGTCCCCATCTGTGAAACCATCACAGATATATACCTGTCTTCATGTGTGAAACTTTCACAGATATGTACTTGTCTCCATCTGTGAAACTATCACAGGTATGTACTTGTCCTCATCTGTGAGACTATCACAGGGGGTACTTGTCCTCATCTGTGAAACTATCAAAGGTATGCACTTGTCCCCATCTGTGAAACCATCACAGATATATACCTGTCTTCATGTGTGAAACTATCACAGATATGTACTTGTCTCCATCTGTGAAACTATCACAGGTATGTACTTGTCCTCATCTGTGAGACTATCACAGGGGGTACTTGTTCTCATCTGTGAAACTATCACAGGTATGTACTTGTCTCCATCTGTGAAACTATCACAGATATGTACTTGTCTCCATCTGTGAAACTATCACAGGTATGTACTTGTCCTCATCTGTGAGACTATCACAGGTATGTACTTGTCCTCATCTGTGAAACCATCACAGGTATGTACTTGTCCCTAACTGTGAAACCATCACAGGTATGTACTTGTCCTCATCTGTTAAACTATCACAGGTATGTACTTGTCTTCATCTGTTAAACTATCACAGATATGTATTTGTCCTCATCTGTTAAGCCATCACAGGTATGTACTTGTCTTCATCTGTTAAACTATCACAGATATATACCTGTCCTCATCTGTTAAACTATCACAGGTATGTACTTGTCTTCATCTGTTAAACTATCACAGGTATGTATTTGTCCTCATCTGTGAGACTATCACAGGGGGTACTTGTCCTCACCTGTAAAACCATCACAGGTATGTACTTGTCCCCATCTGTGAAACCATCACAGATATATACCTGTCCTCATGTGTGAAACTATCACAGATATGTACTTGTCTCCATCTGTGAAACTATCATAGGTATGTACTTGTCCTCATCTGCGAGACTATCACAGGTATGTACTTGTCCCCATCTGTGAAACCATCACAGGTATGTACTTGTCCTCATCTGTGAGACCATCACAGGTATGTACTTGTCTCCATCTGTGAAACTATCACAGATATATACCTGTCCTCATGTGTAAAACTATCACAGATATGTACTTGTCCCCATCTGTGAAACCATCACAGGTATGTACTTGTCCTCATATGTGAAACTATCACAGGGGGTACTTGTCCTCATCTGTGAAACTATCAAAGGTATGCACTTGTCCCCATCTGTGAAACCATCACAGATATATACCTGTCTTCATGTGTGAAACTATCACAGATATGTACTTGTCTCCATCTGTGAAACTATCACAGGTATGTACTTGTCCTCATCTGTGAGACTATCACAGGGGGTACTTGTTCTCATCTGTGAAACTATCACAGGTATGTGCTTGTCCCCATCTGTGAAACCATCACAGATATATACCTGTCTTCATGTGTGAAACTTTCACAGATATGTACTTGTCTCCATCTGTGAAACTATCACAGGTATGTACTTGTCCTCATCTGTGAGACTATCACAGGGGGTACTTGTCCTCATCTGTGAAACTATCAAAGGTATGCACTTGTCCCCATCTGTGAAACCATCACAGATATATACCTGTCTTCATGTGTGAAACTATCACAGATATGTACTTGTCTCCATCTGTGAAACTATCACAGGTATGTACTTGTCCTCATCTGTGAGACTATCACAGGGGGTACTTGTTCTCATCTGTGAAACTATCACAGGTATGTACTTGTCTCCATCTGTGAAACTATCACAGATATGTACTTGTCTCCATCTGTGAAACTATCACAGGTATGTACTTGTCCTCATCTGTGAGACTATCACAGGTATGTACTTGTCCTCATCTGTGAAACCATCACAGATATGTACTTGTCTCCATCTGTGAAACTATCACAGGTATGTACTTGTCCTCATCTGTGAAACTATCACAGGTATGTACTTGTCCTCATCTGTGAAACCATCACAGGTATGTACTTGTCCCTAACTGTGAAACCATCACAGGTATGTACTTGTCCTCATCTGTTAAACTATCACAGGTATGTACTTGTCTTCATCTGTTAAACTATCACAGATATGTATTTGTCCTCATCTGTTAAGCCATCACAGGTATGTACTTGTCTTCATCTGTTAAACTATCACAGATATATACCTGTCCTCATCTGTTAAACTATCACAGGTATGTACTTGTCTTCATCTGTTAAACTATCACAGGTATGTATTTGTCCTCATCTGTGAGACTATCACAGGGGGTACTTGTCCTCACCTGTAAAACCATCACAGGTATGTACTTGTCCCCATCTGTGAAACCATCACAGATATATACCTGTCCTCATGTGTGAAACTATCACAGATATGTACTTGTCTCCATCTGTGAAACTATCATAGGTATGTACTTGTCCTCATCTGCGAGACTATCACAGGTATGTACTTGTCCCCATCTGTGAAACCATCACAGGTATGTACTTGTCCTCATCTGTGAAACCATCACAGGTATGTACTTGTCTCCATCTGTGAAACTATCACAGATATATACCTGTCCTCATGTGTAAAACTATCACAGATATGTACTTGTCCCCATCTGTGAAACCATCACAGATATATACCTGTCCTCATATGTGAAACTATCACAGGTATGTACTTGTCTCCATCTGTGAAACTATCACAGGTATGTATTTGTCCTCATCTGTGAGACTATCACAGGCATGTACTTGTCCCCATCTGTGAAACTATCACAAATATGTACTTGTCTCCATCTGTGAAACTATCACAGGTATGTACTTGTCCTCATCTGTGAAACCATCACAGATATATGTACTTGTCTCCATCTGTGAAACTATCACAGGTATGTACTTGTCTCCATCTGTGAAACTATCACAGATATGTACTTGTCTCCATCTGTGAAACTATCACAGATATGTACTTGTCTCCATCTGTGAAACCATCACAGGCATGTACTTGTCCTCATCTGTGAGACTACCACAGGCATGTACTTTTCCTCATCTGTGAAACTATCACAGGCATGTACTTGTCCTCATCTGTGAGACTATCACAGGTATGTACTTGTCCTCATCTATGAGACTGTCACAGGTATGTACTTGTCCCCATCTGTGAAACCATCACAGGTATGAACTTGTCCCCATCTGTGAAACCATCACAGGTATGTACTTGTCCTCATCTGTGAAACTATCACAGGTAGTGCTTGTCTCCATCTGTGAAACTATCACAGGTATGTATTTGTCCCCATCTGTGAAACCATCACAGGTATGTACTTGTCCCCATCTTTGAAACCATCACAGGTATGTACTTGTCCTCATCTGTGAAACTATTACAGGTATGTACGTGTCTCCATCTGTGAAACTATCACAGATATGTATTTGTCCTCATCTGTGAGACTATCACAGGGGGTACTTGTCCTCACCTGTGAAACTATCACAGGTATGTACTTGTCCCCATCTGTGAAACCATCACAGATATATACCTGTCCTCATGTGTGAAACTATCACAGATATGTATTTGTCCTCATCTGTGAAACTATCACAGATATGTATTTGTCCTCATCTGTGAGACTATCACAGGTATGTATTTGTCCTCATCTGTGAGACTATCACAGGTATGTACTTGAGTTACGTCGGTATGTTACCTTATCTCATAATTTCTGTTTATCAAACAGTTAATAGTTTTGTGTGACACAGATAAAATGAGACCAGGAGGTCTAGTGAGTATGAAACGAGGTGTGTTCTTTGTAAATTCTATTTTCCATTCTTTTCGCAGATCTACTCCTCCAGCAGAGATTGAAGATTTGAAGGTTTTTCAAAAACATAAATTGTGAATGTTACAACTGTTGGGTTATTGTTTATGTCCACTCCACACCGAGTCGATGAACCGTTGTATTGAAGCCACTTTCAACAAAGTATTAGCAAAGAGTTGTGAGTGTAGAGCACCCTGGCATTAACCGAGCAATATCACGTAGTGGGCCACAAAAATGGTCTTCACATAGTGTATAAGTTAGAGACACCCCCATCCCTCTCGGCGACGGACGAAACTTAAACATAACAAATCTACCCCGCTTCCCAATAGGAATTGTCGATCATGTTGCAAGGTTGCATCGATATGCATGCATTCAGTATCTACACGTTCTTGGTGAGCTAGTACATCGTCAGCGTGAAATGCCGGATGACCGTATGTTGATAAGGTCGTTATGGTTCGAAAAGATCAAGGTCAACGCTCAACCGATTATTCAGGTCCGACGATATGAAGTATACAGATCACTGAAACCTGATAATGATTAAAATCATAATGCATATTGATTAATCAAACAAGTTGTCAAGGTAACTTGATGTCGTTGGTTGGTTGGTTTGTTGTTTAACGCCTCACTCAGCAATATTCCAGCTATATGACGGCGGTCTGTAAATAATCGAGTCTGGACCAGACAATCCAGTGATTAATATCATGAACATCGATCCACGCAATTGGGATCGATGACATGCTTCAACCAAGGCAGCGAGCCTGACCACCCGATCCCGTTATTCGCCTTTTACGACAAGCATAGTCACCTTTTACGGCAAGCATGGGTTGCTGAAGACCTATTCTTCCCCGGAATCTTCATGGGTCTGGTAACTTGATGTCGTCGTGCGCATTAGGGTCAAGGTGACATTGTTCTCTCTCCCTTTCAAAATGTTGTATTTCTGTTATGGGGAGTGAAATCCAAACTTTTCACACAAAAAATTGTGAAAGAACATGAACACTCGTAGGCATTAAATAAATAAATACTTTGAAAGTCAGTATGTATCGGTTCTAT